AAGTCTAGAACACCAATCTCAGCCTCTGCAATATCAATCATTTATTTCAAACATACTGGGTTTATATACCAGGCAGACAGACCACATCGTACCACAAAATAGGAAACAACATTTGTACAAGATTTAACTATATGTAGCTGTGAGTGTAGGAAATAGTAATTGATAGACTGGATATAACTCAAGAATGGTAAATCATGTATTAATAGCCTATGGGTCAAAATAAAGCTCACAATAAGGGGCACACGAATATAAATAGTTTAGTTACTTAACAGTTATACGATCAAAGTATACTTTTCTGATTGGCTAACAATCGGTTAAGAATCCTTCGAGATCGTTTTCCCTTAGTCCGTATACTCTACTATTATCATAAATGATATATGAAGAAAACATTTAGTAACAACTAGATTGTATTTGAAAATTACTGGATGATAAGGTGAATACGTTGATAGGTTTTATTATGTTATCAGACAATTATTCGATAAAATATCATTATTATTAAGGGTTTGAATTCTTCTTTCAAGTACATTAAACTAATGAGTCACAAATAGGACGAAACATACGTCTCGCGTCCTACTTCTTGTCATAAATCCATTTAATGTTATATGTACACCTTACTAACACATTCCAAATAACATGAAACCTAGGGGTCTAGCAAAACTTTCTGCTGACAACCTCCAACCACTTGACATCAACAATATAATAGCTGAAAAACTCTACATATTAAAAGACCTAGCTACTAAAATTCACAACATCTGGTTGATTTATAGCAAACATAATGACCTGTTTACAATTATAACTCTTATTAAAGTTAAAAATATAAAAAACTGTACTGACCAGGTAGTCATAGTAAAACAGCATGCCAAAAAGTCGAAATGATGCAATAGTAAGAATAATGACAATCAGTAAACATCTAAACAAGATTATTTTAAAGCAAGAAAGTAAGGAAGAACTAAAAAGAAAACATATTTTTACGGGAGAAAAGCATATGATAACTTTAAGTGAAGGGTTATGGAGATTGTTAAATTTCATTGAAAGCATGAACCGATCTAAGTTAGATCATCATTGAAAACTTAGAATCACTGGATGGTTATCTCGTCCTAGTATGGATATCAATGAAATTCAACAGTCTACGCAACCCATACTGTAAAAGCCTTATAGTTAATTGATCTTAGTTTATGAGCAGACGAAGTAATGGCAGCCGTTTACGAAACTTAAATCGACAGATTGTTTCTGATTGTGTACTATCGTCTAATGTCGAAACACTATGTACGTAGGGTCGTTTAGGCTAGCGAATCTAGTGAAACTAACAACATCAGTGATAAATTAAAAGTCAGTCAGCTTGTAAAGCTCAGTGATAATGTCGTTAACGGTGATTATGGGTGATAGGATGTTTGAAATTCACGAGATACAATAGTGTACCTTCAAGACTATATGTACATCTTGATGATGACTGTCAACAACAATTTAGAACTTCCTATTAATCGCTCATTTCTAACCATTTAACATGTACTTTTCATTTCTACAGTAAAATATCAGTAAATTTTAAACAATTTCTATCGTTAAAAATACATCAAATCATCAAGATCATTTATCATATGCTTAAAATAGTCTGTTTTGTTTCCAATAAAATCTTATCTATCTCTTATATCTTTACTTCAATCTCAACAGTTCGACTATTTTTGCTTTATAAGTTGACATCATTTTTCAAGTGTTTGTGTGCCTGTGTGTGTGTGTGTGTTTAGTAAATTACTTCTAGAAATTACTGTATTTGTAAATGTAAAAATGATAGAAGAAAAATGTATCTAGAACAAGGTTTCAATAAAAACAATAACAGTTTGATTTGAAACTTAGATTAAAATAAAGGTAAACCTTTTTTTTAAAAAAAGAGGAAACGTACATAAAGAAAGGAATTTTGTGTTAGTAACATATAAAAACTATCCATGCACAACAACTATAGTGCTAATTTATATGAAGTATGAATAAGAAGTTAAAGGAAGAGATTTTAAACCAAATAGAATATAGAAGAGATAGACTGTGGTTAAGAGTGAAATTCAAGATGCTTGTTTTGCTCTATTAGAGGCTCATCAGATGAATATGGCTCAATCCTAGTGTTGATATTTACAACGAAACTTCAACTAAGTAGCTATCTCTTCAAATGATCTGTCGGCTACAGACACTTAATTTTGTGATATTATAAATGTACTTACAAACAAAGTTATTGATTTTATTATTTTTATTTATATAAACACATAAATATTGGTACAGCGAGGCACCAACTTTAGATACGCCACACTTCGCCATTCGAATTATGTGAGGGATGGAATACTGTCCGGGTGCCCATACCGAAGCAACTGATATTAAATACAAATCTTAGTGTTAATCTAACTATAAATAAATCAAATACGAAGTAGTATATTAATGTATCATTTTGACTTCATATGGGAGTCAAATAAATCTTTATTTATTGTCATTATATTCTAATTTGTGTCGGTCGATTCATGGTTTTCCAGTACCAAATACTAAGTCAGTTAGGGAAGTTTTTATTAATTTTTTTAGAACCATAACATAAGCGATAACAGTCTTCATAATTATAACAGCACTTAAAACTACTTTCTTCACAATCACCATTGGATGCCGGCTCAGTGGTCCAGTTGGTTAAACGTTCGCGCGCGAGACCGAAGGCCCTGGGTTCGAATCCCGCTCGCGGGATCGTGGATGCGCGCTGCTGAGGAGTCCCACAGTAGGACGAAACGGCCGTCCAGTGCTTCCAGGTTTTCAATTGTGATGGTCTAACATCAATCGGTTCATGATCTCAATCAAATCTTTTCTTGTAATTAATGAAAGGTTTACGTAATACAGATAAATTATTTACATAAGTCATTAGCAATATGTCAAATTCTTAATCATATTTTCATGTTTGACATAAAACTCTAGACTCTTTGAAAAAGCTTGAACCAGATTGCAGGCGAAACGTTGGATTTACTCCAAATTACTTCGCTGAGATTTTACAAATACATGCTTCCTCTTTAATTGTAAAAAGGTTTTAAAAAAATAACAGCATGTATAACAAAAATATGTATCTTGACAATTGCTATTTTAATAGTTGAGATCATGAGTCAGTCAAAGCTAGACCACCATGGAAAACGTGGGAGAACTGGACGGCTGTTTCGTTCTATTGTGGGACTCTTCCGTGGCGGCGCATACCCACGACCCCGCCCCGTGGGATTCGAACCCAGGACCCATGGTCCTCACACGCGAGCGCTTAATCACTAGACCACTGAGCCGGCCGTCATCCAACAGTGTTAATGTCTCATTTCAACTAATCCACGAGATTGAGCGACACATCCACCATTGTCATCAGTGAGTTCGAATCCCGTGAGGCGGGGTCGTGGATGTACATTGCTGAGGAGCCCCACAACAGAACGAAACCACCATCCAGTGCTTCTAGGTTTTCCATAGTGGTCTAGCTTCAATTGAGTCATGATTGCAACTCCTGAAACTAGTACAATCTCCACAAAACCCCTATTGATGCTAACTACTATTTTAGGTTAGAAGGAAAATAATTCTATCAAAATGTATATCTTATGAATATATTTTTGAAAAAGCAAATATATTGAGAATGTTAATCCAACTATTTAGTTGATCCACCAGAATCTATAGGCAAGCTTTTTTATAGTTCAGCATATAATATCACTAAAATGTGCATCTTTCTGCTTAGTATCCTATAACCCTGTGTGATGAAGATCCGTCTCACCAAGTTGAATTAACATCATTTATGTGTGATAAGAGTTACATAGAAGTGTTAAATAGAAACATAAACAAATGTTAAAACACACAAATATAAAGTGATATGTCAAATCAAAGGAAATAGTGATTGGTCAACGAACAAACACAGACATGAAATATTAAGGGACTATTTTATATATACAATCGAGTTCACTTCTATTCTCTATTTAACCATGCTCATCAACTATTTTGTAATGTGGATAAAAATAATGATATATTTGTAATATTCCCATGAATAGACAAATTAGATTTTCTGACGTTTCGTGACTCAATGTAATCCATTTCTTCAGAGAATAAATAACCAAATCAAAATTAACCCAAGTTTAAATAGTACAAAGGAACAAAGCAAGAATATTAGGTGTGATCAATCAAAAAACAGGTTTGACCAAGTTAATGTCATGTCATTCCACTTAAGGTGATCTATATGAGACATATTTTTATTCATGGTAAGAGATGAAAAATGTGATATTAGTGGTGAGAAAGGAGTTTAATTTGTGTTCACGATAATAGTGTGAAATGTAATGTGTTAGTAAGCCGTTATTTTGACTTGAATATTCAAATCTCTGTGATTTATTCGCCAATCGAAATACGACTTTTTCAATCTTAGTACTATGATAAACCAATGACGTTCAACCAATATGAGCAGCCTAGTGTCCTCATTGATCCTTTGTTCTGCTAGCCTGTTCAGTTGAGTTCAGAACGCCAATAACATCTTCCACTATGCAAATCAATTATTTAAAACATACCAGCCAAACAGATCGCATCACACCATAAAATAGGAAATAACATATATAAAAGATAGAGCTGAAAGTGGCTGTGAACGTGGGAGACGGTGATCAATAAGCTGAACATAAATTAAGAACAGTAAATTGTATAATCATAGTTTATAGGTCGAAATGAAGCTTATAATAAGACGAATATAAATATACATCATCTAGTTACTGAACATTTATACAATAGGAATGTATATATATATATATAATATTAGTCCACTAATAGTTCTCAGAAGTTACCCCTAATTTAATCTTCACTAGAATATAACACTAATGCCTACTCTTATGTATTTGGGTAATTTAGTGTTTTATGAGAGATTGTGAACCATAAAACTTTTTTTCCCCATTATAACATAAAATATTTTCCAAAACAAAAAAGAAACGAAATACTCATTAAACTTATTAGCAAATTAATGAAACAGTAAGATAGAATTAACTTACTTTACTCGATGCCATATCGCTAACAGATCGATGGGTTTGTATATTTTCTAATCTTTCTAAACACCATTCAAGTTCTTCCAATGTTTCACTGGCTGTTATCTTATTTTGCCCACCACTACAACTACCACTGTAACCTTATTTATTTATTGTTTTTTTTAATAAAAAAAAACGAAAACAGAGAACAAAAAGAAAATACGAAAGAAAATGAGACAAATATCAAGTTGTTCTTTGTCTACAAAAATGTAGACAAAAGTAATCGTTTATATACATTAAATGAACAATGATGATATACTTATAAACAACTAAATATCACAGGTTGTAAGCAGCTGACGAGAACCAACGAAACAAAAATGAATTCATGCTATTCTGCTAGAATGTTTGTTCTTGCTCTTTTCTAAACAGAAAGGAATGGATTGTAATTAATATTTAAAGTATAATTAAACAAAATGAAAACATTTTAATTTTGGACAAAATTAGTCGGTTACTAACTACTTTTATTTCTTATTCAGTAGTTGATCTTAATATTAGAAGAATGAAAACATATTCATTTTTAATATATAATGAAAAAACTGAAATAACTATGTTTTTGTTAAAGCTCAATAATATAGATAAAAGTATACTATACTAACTAATCAGTCGGATTTAAGGTAACAAATTTTGTATTTCTGCAATGATGGATAACGTATATCGCAGAAAAACTGAAGTAAATACTACAAATATTTATTTCCTAAAATGCTTAACATTGATAAACATGCAAAGATAAAGTAATAGAGATCGTGATTTATAAATTTGTAAGGACAACTCAAAGGTGTTTGAAATAATCAAAGAACTTTATAAACATTCACTTACATTAAGCTACAAGAAAGTTGATCTACTCGATTCTTATTAATTACTCTTAGCCTCTAACGATATATCTTAACGGTAACTCTGATTTCTAAGTCTAACTTAAACTGCTAACCCTAAGTCGTTATACAGCCCCCAAATGACCTGGTACGACCAAGAGTAGAAGTAGTCAGCTCTCCTCCTCGTCATGCTCTCAAATGGCCACGTGAATATAACCACTTCCAGGTAAGTCCAACTCACTGCCTTTTCGTGGCGGGGGTATTGCTTATGAACCTGAGAGGACGAAAAGCGAATGTCTGGCGCTTTGACTGTGTTGGTGGATACGGAGGGTTCACCTAGAGGAGTTGGGAAACCCTGATTCCCAACCATTGGTGCACATGGGCTCCAGGATCCTAAGGAAACAAATGACATATGAACCTATTGTTGGTCACCGGCTATCATGGGACTGCATCTCCTTACGTTGCTTCACTTCCTTGTGGATTAGACCTTAAGTTCAAAGGCTCGGGGTGTGTCCTCCTAAGAAAACCACCTTCTGGGCATCCGGGCAGCATCTCAGCCCTCACACAAATCGAATGATTTATGTCTCATTTATATTTCATGCTTCCTTTTACCAATGTTTATGTATTTAAATAAATAAAATAAATAGATCGTTATACTTAATCTAAATCCAAATCTTAATAACTAATCCTAACCTACTCCTATCCCCAAATCCCGATAGTAACCCAACTTCTAACATTAAACGTGAACCCCTAAATCTCAGCCAAAGCTCCTAGACATTATGAACCTTTATGTAACAAATTATTTATCGAAATCATTTGAATTATAATTCTATGTGTTCAAAAAGGTAACCAGTACTGAACAATTTTACCGTGATATGCTTTAAAAACTAGTAATGAAATAACCATTGTGTCACTAAAACTTGACCAGTACATTTCCTTTAATCTAGGAAATAACAATTTTATCTCTATAAATGTCTAAACATTGATTTTGATTCTATAGACGATCATGACATTTACAAGTGTTTATGGAATTTCGATTTCTCTCAAATAATGATCGGAAACTGTGCATGAAAACGTTTTAGAGTTTTGTAGAATATAGAAATATATATATATATATATCAATGAGTGGTATAGTTGATAAAAGTAGTAAATAGCATTGACTATTGAAAAACCACATTTATCAAGCCAAATTTATAAACCCTAGTTCTCATTTAATCATTTGATTTGATGTAGATTGATTTAACGGGTTGTTGCGCTATATTGTGAATTGATTGAAATTGAGATCATATCATTCAACATTGACACAATCTTTTTAATGGTTAGGCATTCTCTACGAAGTTCTGAGTCCGACCCCTAGTGGACTTATATGAGCATACTACTAAGGAGTTCAATACTGAGATGAAATAGCTGTCTACTACTTTCTAATTTCTAACACTACCCTAACTGTGATCAGTCTATGGTGAATATAACATAAGAATATTGTTTAATTAAAAATGAAAATTAATAAAATTGAAATACTTACCTAAGTGTGAAGAACTATTTCCATCTTCATTAGATTGTATTGATTGAACAGCTCCAAATCGTGAACTAGAAAAATAAAAGGCATTTTAGAGAAATTTGTTAAACATGTATAGTTTATCTCTTTAATTACACTTCCCTAGAATAGGTTTAAGAGCATTGTGAATATGGATTTTGTGTACAAAATGTTCACACTTATTCAGTTCAGTTGTTATAAATACGTTTTTTTCTATCCATCATATGTAATATGGTTTAATTCTAACCTATTTGTCTATTCTTATAATAAGATAGATAAAGAGAAAAATATACCGAGAACTATAGTGTTCCTGTTTGAGTTTTCCAGTATTTATTATCGTAATAATCTGTAGTCCTTCTGTAGTAGCGCATCGGTACATACAGCTAGTATTCATTATTATGCAGCTCAAACAAATTTAAAATAGGTAGGTTAATTACAATAGTTGTACAGTTGAAACGTAGATGGCCATCAGACGTTTAAGCCGTTACAGTGGTAGTTGCTATCACCGAAAATGATTTCGTGATATTCATTTTTTTAGTGAATATATTAGGAAGAAGTCACTATTGATGAACATTTTTTTGTTGCTGAGTAGTAACAGAAGTGGTTCGGGCAAATAGTTTTATAAAAAAATTCATCGTCGTCTACAAGCTAGACATTAGCACTGGTGGATGCCGACTCAGCGGTCTAAAAGTTAAGGTAGGTACATTTTAGTGGAACCCTTTATTTTGTCGTCATTTAGATCGGACGATGTTTGTGTACGGGCTCTCCACTTTATTGGGCCGGGATCTGGCTCCAAGTGGATAGTATGAATGATTGTTATTGAAATATATTTCTGTCGTCTATCCTCTTATATAATGACCAACTTGAATCGCGTTAGTCAATAACAGAATCAAATAAGTCGAATAACGGGAATGGACATACCCGTCATCTCCACTGCATGTCGTTTCGATTCACTCTATTCCATTCGCTTCATATGGAAAATATATGTTTTCAAAAGTCCATTCTCGTTATTTGACTTATTTAATTCCGTTACTGACTAACGCGATTTAAGTAGATGATTATATATATACGAGGATAGGCGACATATAAATTTCAATAACAACCATTCATACTATCTAATTAGAGTCAGATCCCCAGTCCACTAAACCATCCAACTAACGAGTCTCAAGTAAGGCAAAAACCAGTGTCTTGGATTTCGTTATTAACAATAGCAAACCTATTCTAAATAGTGTTTGGTTTTTGTTTTGGTAATTAATTAACGAAACATACACAAAGGGAAAAGCAAGATTCTCCAATAGAACAGGGCATGCAACAATCGAATCACACTTGACGAAAAAGATTTGGAAGGTGTAAAAACCTTTACATATCTGAGCAGCAACATTGATGAACACGGTGGATCTGATGCAGACGTGAATGCGCGGATTGACAAAGCAAGAGCAGCATATCTACAACTGAAGAACATCTGAAACTTAAAACAACTGTCTGTCAACCAACACCAAAGTCAGAATTTTCAATACAAATGTCAAGACAGTTCTACTGTATGAGGCGGAGACTTGGAGAACTACGAAAGCCATCATCCAGTAGATACAAGTGTTTATTAACAGTCGCCTACGCAAAATACTTCAGATCCGTTGGCCGGACACTACTAGCAACAACGTACTGTGGGAGAGAACAAACCAGATCCCAGAGGGTGAAGAAATCAGGAAGAAGCGCTGGAAGTACATAGGATACATATTGAGGAAATCACCCAACTGCATCAGAAGGCAAGCCCCTACATGAAATCCTCAATACCAAAGGAGGAGAGGAAGACCAAAGAACATATTACACCGATAAATGGAGACAGATATGAGAAGAATCAAACAAGAACTGGATAGAACTAGAAAAGAAGACCCAAGACAGAGTGGGTAAGAGAATGCTGGTCGACGGCCGATGTTCCATTACGAGTAACAGGAGTAATTAATTCATTCACGAACTGTCTACTTATAGAGATGTAAACTCAAATCAATAGAGTATCTTTTATTATTTACATATATTATATAGACAATATATATGAAATGCTTCTAACTTCTTTTACTTTATATAAAAGAAAACAAAAATTAAAAGGATATCAGTTAATATTTTAGTATGAAATAAGATAGATGACAAATAAAATAAACAAGATATATTTTAATGAATTCAAGGTCATCTAAGGTCAAGTTGATTTAAACAAATAATAAATAAAACATATCATGTTTTTCTTTTTCTTTTTCTTTTTCTCGATGTAAAGAAGTTAAATTACTTTCATTATCATAGAATGTTTGTTGGTTTTCTTATTTTTGGAATAATAAATGATATTTGTTTATTGTAACTTATAAATTAATGAGTTCATATAAAGTAATCTTTGATATCACTGATCAATGAACACTTCTTAAAGCGTTATATATACATATATACTATTAAGATGATTATTACAAACTATAGGGATTGTAATACTTCGATTACAGTTTAATTTGATTAAAAGAAATCGATAAAAAAGAGGTAAATGATTAGATAATTTAGATTTGTTATTGATTGAGGGCGTGAACCTATTGGTGTTAGACCACCAACCAATCTGTGGATTGATTGAGGTTAGATATTAATACCGTTGGATGTTGACTCAGTGATTTAGTAGGTTAAGTGTTCGCGCGCGAGACTGAAGGCCCTGAGTTCGAATCGCGCAAGTGGGATCGTGGATGCGCACTGACAAAGAGTCGCATAATAGGAATAAACGGCCGTTCAATGCTTCCAGATTTTCAATGGTGGTCTAACATCATTCAACTCATGATCTCAATCAATAACTTAATAATCTTCACAATCCTATACTAATAATTTAGATTTGATCAGCTAGTCATGATCGAAGTACAATTTGGGGCATATATGTGGGCATTTATGCGTTCTTAGATTATGATAATATGATGAGATGAATTTAAAAAAAGATGAAAAGAACACAAATTGAAATTATGTAATAGCAATGATAAACAAAAATAACTGAACATTGGGAATATAGCTTGAAAAGACAGAATGGAAAGATATTCATGAAAGAATAGTGCAATTCAAGATAGATAGAAAGAGAAATAATAAATACATCTGTACTAATTTAACTGGTTACGACAAGATTATATGATGGAATCATAAATTTTATGTTGATCCAGATTCACTTATGTGATATATCTAGTCTTTATTCAGAGCCTATCACACCTAAACATAAATGAAATAGGCCAAAAGAATACTTTTGTTCATAACAAATTGGAGATATTGAAATGGATCAAACGATCAGATTTACATTCTGAAATCATGTAATTTAAAACGAAGGTATCTAAAACCAACTTAAAATTAATCAAATATTCAAATATACAACTTTCATTAAAGAATTTCTTATTAAAACACTAATATATGAATTTCTCACCAGGTTCTACAATTATATATCCTAACTAACAATCTATAAAATTAGCCAGGTTTAAGGCAAAGTTCATCATTTATAATATTATAGCGAGTGAATTAAGGATTGTTTGTAATATAAACTAAAATCCTCCACGTTGAGGTGACTAATATAGTAACGAACAAAAATACAAGTGGGGATGACCAAGTGTATTACCGAGTTATTTGGTAAAATATAAAAACCATACATTTAATCCATTAATTGTTTCAGACTTTATTTTTCCTTCATTTCCATAACAACTACTCGCTGTTCCCGTTCTCTTTTATTCAATCTTCCCAGCTTTCTGCTTCCAAGTTTTCCACTTTCGATTGGTGTTACATACTACTTATATCTGTCGACATAAGTAGCACACACCGTAGTATATTGTGTTAACTTGAGTAGGTTTATACGTTAAATGAAATTGTGAGATAAAATGATCAGAATAAATATGGTCAACATGTGATGACAGAGAGAAGAATGTAATTACGAATTGGAAATTACGTAATATGTAGAATGATACGAAATGGGTACGAATTAGTAGATAGGTCCGTATGCTGAATAACTTTTCCAAAAAAGTTGGCAGGTTTTATAATAATAACAATAATGTATGAGTAAGATAAGTTCAAGCCATAAAAATGAACATTTGTCAAAATACATTTTTGGTTGTAAGCAGCTGACGAGAAACCTCGAAATATTATGAATTCATACTACTCTGCATCAATATTTGTTCTTGCTTTATTTAAATTCATAAAGGGAACCAATTGCATGAAATTTATAAAAGGAGAAGTTGAACATTTTTCTTCTGGATGTCAAACTCTGGTTTTTTTATTCGAATAGCAATTGCTTCAGAAGTCTAAAAGATTCTCGGTTAGACAGATGTAGGCAGATCGCTACATGTTGACTGTATGACCCGTTTGTACTAAATGAGCTGAAATCGAGCTGTTAACATTTTAAACTATGTTTGGGATACGATTCCCTCCCTCTAAATGCTAAATAATGCTTTAGGACCGGCTTGTGTCAGTTCGTAGATTATTGATAGAGAGCGAAGTAGTTGAACAACTCGACCACTTCATTTGTCTTGAAAGTCTCATCAGTACTGATGGTCTGGTGTCTGACGAAATCTTGACAGGGATTTAGAAGACTTGATTGGTTTTTGCAAGCTTGGGTCCCTTGTGTCATAGGTGAGACATCCGTCTGCTAACCGAAAGACGATTTTGTTGAACGACAGTTTGCTCCACTCTACTTTCTGGGTGTGAAACCCGACTATTAAGAATAAAGGACATTCGCAGGTTACAATTATTTGATCATAGTTGTCTTCGATGTGTTGCCCGTGTATTATGGGACCACCGAGTGAGCAATGGCTAGGTTGGGAATAAAGTACCAGGTAAAGGTGGTAAATGGACTGATGAAGTAGTAAATCTTGATCACCTAAGGTGGTTGGAACATGCTTTATGTATGCCTGGCTACGGTCTACATCGATGAGCGATGCTGTCCGGTGTAGAAGCGGTCTAGAAGGATGCTAGGGGTAGCCAAACCGAAATATGGCATTAGTCCATAAACTCATTGACAACTAGACTAGAAGATGTTCATGAGTATAGACTCCCTGGCGTCTGAATG